AATTCGTTAAAACTGCACTGGCGAAATTTTATTCTTTCATCACTGGAACATCATTTATCCCGCAACGCAATTCATTCGTTCGCTTTCTCCCGTAGAGCCTCTTTCTTGTTACCCTTTGAATCACACCCGGCAAACTGGAGAAACACGAACCAGCCATGAAAGGAGCCCGTGCCATTCTTCGGAATATTCTTGATAATCTTCAACTAATTACGAGAAGTTTTGTAAAGAAGATAAAAGGATCCTCGAGAAGACGTTGCCTGTTTTCCTCTTCTGTTGTCGGAACACGAGCATAACAGCGGTCTGTATAACGGCCAGTCGAATGAAACGTATTTAAAAGTTTTTACGAGGGCTTTTTATTGCGGCAAAGAGCCGAAGCGGTAGAACAGAACACGAACCTCGTAAAACCCGCCGTCGCGTAGTGACAGAAAAGAAGGATACGATGTCACGCTTGAAAGAACAAAAGTGGCGTCGGTATACATTCGCAAAAGGAATTTACATTCTCATGATGGTCCACTTGAAAAATCATGACGCTTTTCAACAGGGAATCCCGTGTGACGAATACAACCTCGTTCAGTCTCCTTCCTAAGCAAGCTTCGATGCATCTCGATTTTCAAGAGTTCGTTTCGAAGTTCTCTAAATAAATAAAAACTAACAGTCTATTCGACACGTGCAATTGATTAATCAAAAGTAACATTCCTGAGGATTTCTGTTAAGGACTTCGTGCCATCGTGTTGTCACTTTGACGTGCCTTATTTTTAATTAAATCATTGGTCCAGTTTCCACGTTCAAGTACTTATCGCTCTTTCCAGCGCGTTTTCCTTTTTCGTCTCTCATTTAGCTACAGCGAAAACCTTCGCCTTATCTCGTCTCATCCATCTTGTCTGCGAGCCTCTTTATCAGACGACACTCATACCCTAAGCTACGGCAATGGCCATCTTCGAGTCCAGACCCCAGGGGCATTAATAATCTTACATGGCGAGCCGGCTGAAAGGGTTGCAGAAAGTGTCGGGATGAGTAGAAGCCGGCGAAACAGGAAATGAGTATGTTTACTGGGGAGAAAAACTCGGCAGAAGAAGAGAAACGAGGCTTTAACGCGCCCCCGTCCACGAAAAACCGCTTCCCCATTTGCGGGTTTCACTTTTCTTCCCCAGGCCGATGCTTCTTATCGATCTGTTTGCTTCCGGAGTCGAGATTTCAGTGGTGCGCTCGTCGATGCTGTTTACTGACTCTTAATAATTCGCTTCATACTTTTATGGACCTCCACGATGAAATAAACATTCATATATTGTTCATCAAAAGGAAATTAAATCTTCCAAACACGTTCGAGCCAATCCGGTAGTCTATTATAGCAGTCTTCGAGATATAACAAAGTTTCCAAGTAAAACACCAAGTATAGGAGTTTCGAGTATGAATCTTTCGAGGATGATCCTGCTACCACTCGACTTCCTTCGGAAACTTTGATACTTAGCTGATTTCACATCCGCACTAGTTCCTCAATCGTAGCGTCGCGCTCGAAATTGTCGCGTTGTTCTCTCTTGATCCCCGGCAAGGAAAGTAATTAAAAACGTTTCGCAAACACACGCGCGGGCAGGGTAAGACGTCATTTTTATCGGGTCACCGAGTCCCCAGGACGCTTGTCGAGTTCGAACAATAAATTAACGTCCACGGATTGAAATCAAGTCCCTAATACCGGTCTTACGACGGGAGGATGACCTCACCCCGGCCCGGTTTTTCCTCCCCGTTTCATTGGGGTCGTGCTGGGTTCGCTTTGTCCTTCCGCTCTTTTTCTACACCCGCTCTGTCCGCTCTATGGATAAGAGGCTTACCGGCCCGGGGATAATCGGACCGCGTTCAATTTTCTATTAGACCCTCACGGACCGAAGTCGAAAACCGCAATTCGGTTACTTTTCCCGAAGGTCAACGCGACCGCCACTGCGCCGCGTCATTCCAGTTTCGACGCGACGAGGGAGAATTGGATTTCGGTTGAATACAAGCGAAGCACATCTTCACTATTCCGTGGAAGAGGCTGGTTAAGCGGCTTTTGACCCAATTACCACCGAGATTTCGAAGTAAATCCATGTTGTTGCCTTTTTTCCTCCCTTTTTATTGGACGACTTTCAAGGCGAACTCGTTATTAAAGGTCACCACTCCGGAAGATCGTATTCAGATGAGAGGGTAGCAGAGCTCCTCTTCCAAATTTCAGAATCCTTCGGAAGTAATCATCCATCGAAAACTCCTCTCTTCTCCGTTTCATTCCTCTTGACGTTTCGTTCGTGTCATAAAATCTACGTGAAGAAAACTCGTTCTACGAGGTTTCAGAATTCTTGTCTGGCTGTAATTGACGAGTCGCTCGGTGTGAATATGGCTCGGTGTGTCCCAATTATAATCGACGGCGATATAGGCCCGGATCCAATTAACATTTCTCATCGGAGCACGCGGGAGTTGATTTTCGTTAATCCGCCGCACACCAGTTCGGACTTTGAGCGATCGGCGTGCTAGTGTCCAACTAGGTATGTACAACCATCATAACGCACAAACCCAATTTCGAACGTGGACAAGAGCGCGCGCCGTGTACGCGCTTGAAGATCAATCGTAAAATTTGCAAGTGAAATGAACAGTAAGAGCTGCGTGTATTGGAAAACCTATTTCAAGGGTGCGCGTGCGAACGTTCATTTTTAACGCTTCGCATCACCACTCTCGTCGTCGCGATCCCCCGGCTGGTGCTCGCGTTGCTTTCCCACCACGTCCGTCGAACGCATTTTTGCAATACGAGAAAACGTAGAATACGTGCTACGTACAAAGGCATGCAAAACAACGTACTATTGCAAAATATCAATTTATATTTAATACCTGTTTCTTCAGTTGTGTTCAGAAGATACGATTACGTAAACATCCAATTCAAGTTTCGCAATCAACACATTCACACTGTGTACATATGAATTGGTAATCTCTTCGTGTAGCGTTAGCAGCGAAACATGATTTGTCTTCGACTTCGTTTCGAAATTAACGGTCGAGTGGGGTACGAATACAAACGGCCACGAAATTTACTTTCCTTATGTATATATGAAAAGTTCTCGCGCAGTTTGAGCGAAACTTTGGAACGAATACCACGTCCCGTGTCACCGGAGAGTATAAGAATCGCATTGCCTCGTTTCTAGTCCTCAATGAGTTAGTTCTGTGTCATATTTTATTATAACGAGTAAATGAATTGAGTGTAGAACGCTCGATTGAAGTCCTCTGGTAAGAATGCTGTTCAAGTGCTGGAGAGACTGAAGATCGATAAAAATGACGCATAGAATGTGTCATAGATTCGCATCCATAATTTATACAGGGTGTTTGCGAAATCGTGATACAACCGGCAAGGGGATGATTCCTCACATAAAATCTAGTCGAAAACAAGGAATATAGTTTGTTCATACTTGAAAATTCGTTAGGTACGCAATTTTAATTAATAATTAGCCGTAAATTTTAATAATTGATTTATTATTTAAGCAACGATAAGAATTGCGGGTTAGATCAGTGCGAATAAAGTAGACTCTGTCTAAGTACATGCGTACCTAACGAATTTTCAAACTCAATTTTCTAAAAAATGACGCCCCGTATGAAAAAACTTACTCCTTGTTTTTGATTAAATTTTATGTGAGGAATCATCCTCCAATCATCAAAATACAGATAACAAAAAATAAGGATTCAAAGGGGAATTTAAGATCGCATAATTTCCTCGATAATTACAACACGGCGCATACACGCGAACAATATCGTAGAGGACGTGACGCGTGTAGCACGACAGCGTATAGCTCCTGATTTTATGGGTAACATGCCAAACGAGAAATACGGTAGGATACGGTATACCAATTTCATTCGGGTAGGCCGAGATGAAAATGTCGTTACGATGGGAGGGAGTGGAGGATAACAGAGGTACGTCAGAGGTGCAGCCCGTTAATATTATACCAGCGTCGCGTGTCACGTTATCGAAGCCGTGTATATGTTATCGCAATAATGTCGGGCCAAGTCAGAACGCTTTGTTGAGTGTTATATAGGTAACCGGTGCGCGTCCGCAATATTGATATCGCATCATTTCGCGGGAAACATGTACGTAAGCCCGGACCACCCCTGCGTACAAAGGGTGACTCGGATTTGTGATGCATGGAACGATGAAACAGACCAACAGGCAACACCGTTGTTACTATGAACGGATCTCGAACGTTGAAATTCGATTCTCGTTAACTTAGCACGCCGCAATCGAAACGTAATACAACCGTCAACCAGGTAAACGGGGTTTGGATCCCACTCTCGCGCACGATTCCTGTCCCGCTGATCAAACACCCTCTTGATTCCGGGCAAATTTCCTTCGTTCAGGAACGCGCACAGCGCCCAGATCCATTTCCTTCGTGGTTCATATTATTCCACATTTCACACACAGCGTCACTCGTAATATCCAACACCTTAACATGTTTTTCCTGCAGGCGTTTAGACTGCAGTAATATCGGGGGACATTGTCAATGCAGTAACAATAGTCTTGGAATATCGTACTTTGCGCAATAATGTAATGCGCATTATTTTTCTTTAGTGCATGATCCAGAAGAATTTCACTTGTTGAAGCGTATAAATCATTTTGCTGTGATATCTCCTGTAAATGATTTGAATAGAAATGCAAATGGGAAGACATAATCCAACAAATGCGAGGTTGAATCCGTGTGGTAAAATTTCTGATAAAAACGTAGCTTCAATCTTCTAATTAGCGTTGCTTGTACAAAGCCTTTCGAAGGAAAGCACGCTGTACAATGGCAGAAGATGAGTACACCCTATTTCAAGTCCCGTGTATATAGAAACATAATTTTAACGTCACGTTACATCTTTTAATTAACGCGTGTCGTACACACGTACGCGCACGCATACGTGCCCTCAGTGCGAGTGCGTTCACGCAGCAACAAAGCATGCAGTTTGCAGCGAATAAAGAACTCGTGCTCTTTTTTTTTCAGAAAAATAAAATTTATTTAAGGAAGGGTACAGAGTACAAGGGTATTTAAAAAATATAATTGTGTGCGGTATGAATTAATTACAATTTTTCGAGAACTATTTCATGTATCCGCTTCACGAATTTTTATAGAAAACGATAATTATGAAATAACCAGTAATATTCGTTCGTCACGTATTTCACTAAAAGCAATTAATTTTCAATAGCTCATATTTAACCAAGCCCTGTAATTATACACAGTTCGGTGTGAACTTTCGTTTCGGTGTTGAAATTTTGATACGCCAAATTTTATCTGTTTTGATTGCGGCGCGCGTTTATCGCGCCGGATTACGTATTCCCCTTCGATCATCGAAATGCGCTATTCGCATTACGAAGGTGATTGAAATATCAATTCACTGAACATTTAGAACAGTTAGTTTAGTTCTACAAAGCATCGTCCGTTTTCAGACAATTATCATTCAGTGTCATTAATCGATAGGTAAACTAGTGAGTGAATCATCGGCTAATGAAAATCAGAATCATGATTGCGCGAGGGTACAGTCATTTCCGTTATACTGACTGTGAAATTTCCTCGTATGTGAAACATTATTGTTTCACACGATATCGAATTTTATAAAATTTATAATCAAATAAAAAATCAATAATATATGAACTTGACAATTTCATTTTAAAAAGACTTACATACAATTTGTTATTATTAAGAGCAACGAAATGCAACTCTGAGGTATTTTCAACGTTACCGATCATGAAATGTCCTTTTTACATTTCACTAACGCAGTATGATTTTTATGATTGGCACGTTTGAATCTGCTCTATTTGAAACCCTGTTTTTAAATTATTTTAAATCCTAATTGTAAATTATTCCTAACACGCAAGCTAGTTATTATCATATAAATATGTACAACACAAACTTAAAAAGGATTATATACACTTACATGGTTCATTGTACAAGACATCAATACGCGTCAAAAAATAATTCATTAATATTGGAATGGAATATTCACATTACGATCTCCGACCCGTATGTCGTGACGATTTTCGTAGGTGCCGAGATTTTCAGCAGCTACACGCTGGCAATCCGATGCCGTAGTCCAGGCATGGGAAACTCATTTTTCCCCACACTAGTCGCTCTCCCCACTATTCGTAAATGTAGATACGCGCCCGTACATTACATAGCGTGAAGCATCCCCACCTTAGCTCGCGCTCGGGGCCGTGGCTCCCGAGAGCCACTTTTGCCCATGCCTGCCGTAGTCCAAAATGCGAGGTACAGGGGAAAAGCAGGAACAAGCCGGGTGCCTCAATGGGCCCGGTGATTTCAGCGAAACGAGTGGGCAAGAGTATGAGTTATATCACCTGCTGTTTAGGTTCATAATGAGAAGTAATCGGGAAATCGTAGCTCCTGAATAACAGCCGCGATTTCTCAGCACCTATGGACCTGAACAACAGGGAATTTGATCTGTGCTCTTGACCACTCGTTCCACAGAAATCACCGGGCCCACAGTGGCACTCAGCTTTTACCTGTTTTTCCTTATATCTCGCATTTGCGACTATGTATGGCACTGGATCGCTCGCGTTTAGCTACTGAAAATCACGGGTTTTATGGAAATCATCACATTTCGTCACGATTCACGGACGGAAATCGTAGATCACTCAGTCAAACAAAAATACGTAATTGTTTCAATGCAAGAAATGGTCAAGGCGACAGATGTGTGATTTGTTTTCAAGTTCTCTTTGTTTATTGCTGCAAACAATGTCGATATTTTTCACAGTTTCTTGATTTGAACAACTAACCAATCCAATTGCACAGTCAAGTAAAAATCAAAATGTTTGTTGCTCTGATTTATTCGAACGTCATGTGCATTAACTTAGATGTTAACTTCTATACATTCAATATTTAATTCAACATTTTCGCAAATTTCTTGACTCTTACTTTACCGACATTGCTAACAACTTGTGACGGATCAGTCGAGTCTGGTTCATAATTTTGCCAACCGATTTTTATTTTCTTAACATTTTTCTCAGGCGGACGCTCACTCTCCTTATCAGTCGCGTGAAATGCCTTAAAGTGATTCTTGAAACATTTCTTGTTTTGAAACATCTTCCCACATTTATCACAACATACATCCATGTTAATCTGCAGAGCTAACAACGTAGTCACTGCTGATGGCCACAGCTGTTTGCGACTTTTCCTGTGCATTCGTAAATCATGCGCCAGGAACTCCTTCGCAGTAGTATACCTAATGTCACATACCTTACACAGGTAATAAAAGGTCATTGAATCTTGAAATTCTTTACTGGCATCAACGTCATCAGAATGATTGTTAATAACATGCCAGTACAGAGCAGCAGCGCTATGAAATCTAACCGTACAATAGTTACACTTGTGAGAAGGAAACCGAGAAAATATGTAACCGCAAACTGAACACTTTAAATGACCACTATTCTTGAACCGCGATCTGTACGTCATCGCTTGGTTAATATTGAACTCCATTTTGCACTCGGGACACTTATATTCATTTTTTTCATCAGAACTGTCACTAGATGGGGCGATATTGTTCTGTGTTCGTTTTTCAGCAGCTTCGTACAAATGAGGCACCGGAAGCGAATTTTGGTTCAAGCCAAATGTCTCATATCGATGAAGATGCAACACGTGGATACGAACGTTCGCGGAATCTGTAAACCCCTCATTACATATCGGACAATAATCTGTGATCAAACTGTTGTCCGAAGTCGAGTGCTTCATCTTATGTTTTTCTAGAAAACACAATTTCGTAAACTTTCGTTGACAATGGCTACAGCTGTATGAACCTATGTCCGCATATTCCAACAGATGATTCTTCAAACTAACCGTGTCGTCGAATTTTGTCGCACAAGTTGTACACACATTGCCGTCATCTTTCTGAAGCTCACTGCTATTAAGTTCCTTAAAGAAGTTCATATTCAGCATGCTATTTCCTGTCAGTAGACCGATATTCCTCCCGTGAAAATGTTTCTCGTGACACTGTTTCGACATATTCGTCAACAACACCTCGTTGCAGCGATCACATTTCATAACGTTTTGGTCAGATTCGGTGTGATTCAGACAGTAATGTTTGGCGAGTAGAGCGAGAGTATAATACCTCCTATTGCACTTGTTACAAAAGAAGTCCCCACCATTGGAATACTCCATTTGGTGCATTCTCAGATCCTTCTCGTTAATAAAATACAAGTCACAAACGTTGCACCCATATGTTTTTACTGGTACTCGCGTTATATCCTCCGGGGTTGTGACAAATCTGTTTGTTTGTACCATGTAGGTATGGTCTTGCGTGACAGTGACATTAGTAGCATCCGAATGAGCGTGCAATTTATGTGCATGTAAATGAGATTCATAATTGAAACTTTCTTTGCAGACATTGCACTTGTGAATGCACAAATCTCGTTGGGTAGCGAGATAATGCTCCAATTGGATGTGGTGACGGAGTTGATACAGCCCTTGGAACGATTCTCTACAAACGGTACATTCGAAAGTTTGTTCCTTGTAGTAGTACATTTTATGGTCGATGAGTCGACTATGTGACTCAAACACTAACTTGCATATATTGCACATTGGGCTGTTCCTCGATCTAATTTTCATCGCGAATGTAGTATGAGCGGGGTGGATATGGTGTACGTGAATCCAAAATTTGTTCATGTTATGGAAACCTTGATTGCAAAATCTGCAAAAGCAAGTATAGTGTGCACTACCATTAATGCTATGACTGGAAAGCATGTGCAGTTGTAACAGATCTTTACTGGGAAACGCTGTGTTGCAAATATAGCAGTTTTCATTAGCCAGTCCAAAGTATAAGTCCTCGTGTTCGCACAAGTTTTGGGGCGTTTTGAATTTTTCTCCACAAACGAAACAAGGATACTTCCTCGTCCTGTTCAGTGCATCAATTTGGTTACCTGTCGCAGATGCAACACCTGAGCCTTTCCTTTTAGTCGCCCCTGTGGGTGAACGTATCGTGGATCTGGCAGAAATATCTGAACTTTCTGTTTCCGATGATTGTCCTTCGTTTTCAAGTAACGCTAAAGAATATGACTTTGCATCGAATGTTTGTACCTCTTCCGTTTCAGAATTTTCAGATCTTCCTGAAGCTGACGATGTAGCTATTTTAACGGAGTCTAGGTGTTCTTTATTCAATATGGTGTTTTCTCGACGACACACCTTTTCATGTTGCTCTAAACACGAATGCAGCCAAAATCGCTTGCGACAATCTTTACACTTGTGTCGCTTCTTAAACGCAATGCAATTTGCTTCAGCATTGATCGATCTAATCTTCTTCTTAAAATGTAGGACCATGTGACGTCTCAAGGTCGTGAGCGAATCGAAGTTCTTAAAACACACGCAACATTCTCTGCGCGGGAAAGGAATGTGCTGGCGCAGGTAATGATTTACTAGCCTGTCCATGGACATGTAGCGAGCAGAACAGATGCTAGATATGTAAATCGTATGGAATGTTTCCATGTGTTTACTCAGTTTGTTTTTCGTCGAAAACACTTTTTTACAACAATAGCATTTATACGTACCGGAGCATTTCGCTAAAGGGACATTCGAAAATACCGAACTAGTTACAAGCTCTCGAGAATCCACCTGAAGGGCACAGCTCTTATTCAACTTAATATTATTCCCTTCCAAATCAATTCGCTCCAATCGGACTACGCATTCTTTGCACTGTATTTCACTTATCCTTGGTTCTGATGCCTTCCTCTTGCGCGAGCCGTTTTTTCTTAGCGTTCGACAAGATTCTTGTGTTGTGTATCCATATATGTCTTCGAATAGCATCGATTCAAACATAAATAACGTAGAGTAAGAAGAAAATCTTGATGGCCTCAGATTGTACGATACTTTATGGGTATCGGTAGAACTCGCAGAATCAATAGGATCCGTAAATTCAGTTTGTGCTTCCTTCTTTGTCAAAGGTATCATAACTGTAGGATTTACTCCGCATGAGGGATCACTTCGCAAAAGCCGTGTATCCTGAGACACAGTCTGTGGTGTTCCGCATGTTTCATTTTTAAGATCCACATTAGTAGTAGAATTTTTCTCAATATCACCCACACTACTTTGAGCAACGCTGGGGACAACAGTTTTTTCTACTTTCGAGACTATGACGAAGTTGTCCATGCTACTCTGTTTCATCTTTTTCGGAGTTACGGTATTGTTACACATCTTCGGAGGCGAACCATGCAAAGCATTTAACTTCGGAGACATTTCAGACGGAACACTTAATATCTTCAGAGATGTTTTAGGTGGACTATCCAAACTCTTCAGAAATGTTTTAGGTGAACTCTTCGAGAATGAAGATGATTTGATCAACCTTTTCGTAGGCGTACATGGAGCAGTCAACAATTTTGAGAGCTCAGAGTTTGAAGTAACTAAACTTTTAGGTCTTTCACTTAAAATACTCAATTGTTCAGAGATACTATTATCAGAAGGTTCTAATTGTCCCTTACACACTATATTCATGGAATGTATGTCTCCGTGGACATGAAACAAATGACTCTGTAGACTCGTCTTGGATCTCGATTGAACATTGCAATGATTGCAACTATAGATCGCGAAATGAAGTTTTACACAACACGAACGTTCCAGGTGAGATTTCAATCCTTTTGTCGTACAAAACCTGGCATTGCAACAATTGCAAATATATTTACTCGTCCACACGGTTTTGTGTATTTGGAGTGCGTACTCGGACTTGAAATGGATCAAACAAATAGTGCAAAGAAATGAATTTTGTTCTACGACTTTTCTATTTGATTTCGTCCGTTGTCTGACTTTATAATCATCGATCGTACCACTAGACATAATTTTACTCGTTTCTGAACTAATAGATGACGTAGATTCATTAATATTACAGTTCTCCGATTCGATATATTCTTCCGTCTCTGTTATTTCGTTGCGGAAAGGCTGAAAACAAATGCAACACCCGAAGGAATAAGATATTTTTCGAGAATTCTATTCATCAATGGGAACACACAATTAAACAAGGGATGCGATGAGACATGAGTATGAGTAAATATGTAATATAAGAACGAAAATAATAATTTCTAAGAAAATTGGAGGATATTAGTTCAATCAAATGAATAAATTATCACCAAATATAAATACAGTCATATTAATCGATTTACAAAAAAGAAGTTTGATTCCATCGGCACAATGATCTGAAATTTTGAGGAATTGTGAGCGAGAAAAGATCGTAGAGAATTTCGAATATAAACTTTCAGCTGCTGATATTTATTATAACGATAGGAGCTATATCAGTTTTACAACACTGATCTCTATAGAACATTAGATAACGGATGTGTACTAATAATAATGGCCCGAATTAAAATAGCTGCAGTTATCTTTATTATGGCCTCTTAGGCGTTTTTCTAGTAAATTTCAAATATTATGAATATGCAACAATAACTCAGATAGACTTTCATGATCGTCATGAAATGTATGAATTAATTTATTAAAAACCAGAAATGATGAGCAGTAAAGTCCATTTGAATGAATATGTTAACATCAAAATGTACATAGATTTCATATCATATCATGAGTTGTCCTTACCATGCAATGTACCAATATTTTTTTAATATTTTTCATCACTGTTACATTAATATCAATTTTCTCAATATATGTTGTTAATTTGGTGTAAAATTATGAAGGTAATTTGTAATCATTTATAGCATCATTTTGTCATACAATATTTGGTAGTCGGAAATTTGCTATAAATTGTCTATCTGGGATCACACAATGTTATTTGCAGATTAAGCAAACCTAATGCTATATAAATCAATACCATACAGTTAATAGCTACAAAGTACTTCATTTTACAACCCACTAACGAAAAATCTATCATGACAATTCCTCGATTGTTACATTGCACATGGAAGGATTCGCAGAATACGGAACTAACTACAGAAGATATATTATTGGTACCAAATTGGTTTCTTACTAATCCAAAACTAATCAATGCAATATATTTACAAGACAAACTTTCGCACTGCACATAAAATTATTTATCATAGAATTATAACGGATGTAAAACAATGTGAATTTATTACGTGCTTCATAATAAGACTAAAGCAAGAAGGACGCATTCCGGAATGTAGTAGAGATAAGGAAAGTCGAATGACAGATAACATGCAAGGTTCTGCAATCGGGCCGATTGGCCCGTTTCCTTTAGAATAAAAAAGATGATACAACAGATACCTTTACGCTAATCGCTTGCTCAGCATAGCAACATTATATATAAATAAATTTAGAACGTAAAATTGACATATTTCATATTTTATAAATTTGATACATAACAGACAAGAAACGAAAGTAAACGCAATTTTAATAATAAAAGACGTCAATTGACATGTCCTATGCTTCAAAATTTTATATATATCACCTATTCCATTCTATCTCGCGGTAATTTAACGGAAAAATGTTTCGGGAAAAAGTTAATTAGTTGTCAATAATCCACGGCTAGCATTATTAGGAATTTGAAAAAATATTAATTTCAATGGAATATATATATATGGAATCTAGATATATATCACTTATGTTTGATAACAGAAGAGGCTAAATGTATGAAAAAAAATGAAGTGCATAAAAGAAATGTTGAAATTTATACATACGTTAGGTTAGGTGACATTAGTTTCTGTGTTTATGTGCTTCAAACGTTAGAAATGGAATTATATATGCTTTCCATGATATTAAAATAATTTGAAAAAAAATTTATGCACCCAATAAATACATTATATACTGCATGCAAGTAAGCGAGCATGAAACCTTTACAAAGCTTAATAAAATACTCACATCTGGGCCTCTTTCCAACTTGATACTTGCGAATACTGCCTGAACAGAACGTTCATATACCAAAGCACGAGCCATTGTCCCTATAAAATTAGTTTTATATCTAAAGTAATTGCGTAATTACAGTCTGTAACCAAGAAGCAGAAGATACTAATCATGCATTTGCAAGTTATAAATTAATCTACTAATGATTAAAATATTTGAATAATTTTGAAGTAGATATGTTAAATTATATTTGATTATTTATAAGCACGTGTTATACAAAATAATTATAATTATTTGAATGTTCAAATCAATACAAATAATAGACCAATTAAAGGAAAAGAGGTATGTAAGTGGTAGTACATATATATAGATAATTGCATTGTTTTAGGTTAAAAGAGTACAGGCAAAGGATTTCTGGAATATCTTATTACTGATATGTAAAAACGCTTATTGCATTTACTACTTACTATTCTATCGATGTGTGATTTACATTTCCTACTAATTATAAAGTTGCGAAGGCGACATAAAGCAAAAACTCACGACACATCACAGGCGTCACAAGCGAACTGAGTACACACCATACGTACGATCAAGATGGCGGATTTCACGAACGGATACCGACTACCGGTTATTAGTGCCAGCATCGACTTTCAGCAAAGTTCAGACTGTTCCATTAATGTCGTCGCGGTCATAATCACGGTCATCAATGGTGAGTAAAGAATAAGTGAATTATTTATTTTATGCGCGTCTTGAATCTTAAATGTAATTAAATGTCGTCACCTATGTTTCCAATTTACAAAACGTTTGCGATAGGAGGACGATTGAACAGGGAACAGTAGCCTTATGACCCTTTTATTAGAAACGTCACAGCCTACTGTAATACCTAGTCTTTAATTCGTATTAGAGTTGGCTGTGGTTGCACTGTACGAAAGACAGATTCCTATGGTGTTGCCATTTTATTCTCAGCATGTTTAGGTATTAAAGTAAGTTGTAGAAACGTGCTCGAGCATGGATCTACTGGACGTACCATTGAGGTGGTAAGGCGCGTCGAAATACGGAAGGAGGGGTGCAGATCATGGGCGCATGCGTTTCAATTGCTGATCAAGTTTAGTGCACCCTAGTGCACCCAGTTGAAAATGCGTATTATAGACAAATATGCGCACAGCCTACTTTAGTATCTAGCCAGAGAATAAAATGGTAACACCGCGGGAGTCCGGATTTCTTGTAGTGCGACTCTCCGTGCGACCACAGTCGGCTGTGATTGCACTACACAAAAACCGGACTCCCGCAGTGTTGTCATTGTATTCTCAACATAGTTAGGTATTAACGTATGCTGTGATATGCGAATGTTCACATGATCATATAAACAAGGGGCAAGCACAAAGCATGAACCGTGTGTATTGTAATCATGGACCTAAAGGATGGAGCAGCAAGGCGGTAAGGGGTGCCGAAATATACAAGGGTGCAAAGCATGGGCGCATGCGCTCATATTGTGGTGCACCCTACAAGTTCCAGCTATTTTCAGTGCAGTCTACAGTTGAAAATACTTATTATAGATAGATATGCACATACTGACATGACCATGCAGAAAACTCTTTGCTCTAAAACTCTAAACTTTTATCTACACCCTATAAGTTAGGAAATAAAGGACTGTTCAGGCTTGTTACTACGGACACCCGTATGTCCACAGATGTACTTCCTGAAACTGGCCAAGTTTCATAAGTAATTAAAACCGCTTAACACGATTTCGCCTCACTTTCTGATACCGCAGAGAAAAGTGTTTTTAAAGGGAAGTACTGCAATCACGGTACAACCATGATTTCCTCCAACTTTTAATTGCCCCATTAGAATACTATCTTGCCAGTTATATTATACCATGCATTTATTATAAGCTATCTTCTTGCATTTGTAAAGTGACCTTTGTTATCCATAGAATGGGCATTCTTTTAGCACACTAGTACTTCATGTCATCATTTCTATCACGTGTTCAGAAGGTTCCACTTCCTCTTTGCAAATACAATTTCGAAATGAAAACAAAAAATAAATTTATTGTCAACCTCACATAGGTTGACTCCTCAATATCGACTCAAGTAATAGTGCTATTTCTTTTTTTCGACTTATTTTTACAAGTAGCATCACTTCCTGTTTGATTGTACCAGCCGATCGGCCACACCCTGCATCGAATACTGCCTGAACAGAACGTTCATATACCAAAGCACGAGCCATTGTCCCTATAAAATTAGTTTTATATCTAAAGTAATTGCGTAATTACAGTCTGTAACCAAGAAGCAGAAGATACTAATCATGCATTTGCAAGTTATAAATTAATCTACTAATGATTAAAATATTTGAATAATTTTGAAGTAGATATGTTAAATTATATTTGATTATTTATAAGCACGTGTTATACAAAATAAGTATAATTATTTGAATGTTCAAATCAATACAAATAATAGACCAATTAAAGGAAAAGAGGTATGTAAGTGGTAGTACATATATATAGATAATTGCATTGTTTTAGGTTAAAAGAGTACAGGCAAAGGATTTCTGGAATATCTTATTACTGATATGTAAAAACGCTTATTGCATTTACTACTTACTATTCTATCGATGTGTGATTTACATTTCCTACTAATTATAAAGTTGCGAAGGCGACATAAAGCAAAAACTCACGACACATCACAGGCGTCACAAGCGAACTGAGTACACACCATACGTACGATCAAGATGGCGGATTTCACGAACGGATACCGACTACCGGTTATTAGTGCCAGCATCGACTTTCAGCAAAGTTCAGACTGTTCCATTAATGTCGTCGCGGTCATAATCACGGTCATCAATGGTGAGTAAAGAATAAGTGAATTATTTATTTTATGCGCGTCTTGAATCTTAAATGTAATTAAATGTCGTCACCTATGTTTCCAATTTACAAAACGTTTGCGATAGGAGGACGATTGAACAGGGAACAGTAGCCTTATGACCCTTTTATTAGAAACGTCACAGCCTACTGTAATACCTAGTCTTTAATTCGTATTAGAGTTGGCTGTGGTTGCACTGTACGAAAGACAGATTCCTATGGTGTTGCCATTTTATTCTCAGCATGTTTAGGTATTAAAGTAAGTTGTAGAAACGTGCTCGAGCATGGATCTACTGGACGTACCATTGAGGTGGTAAGGCGCGTCGAAATACGGAAGGAGGGGTGCAGATCATGGGCGCATGCGTTTCAATTGCTGATCAAGTTTAGTGCACCCTAGTGCACCCAGTTGAAAATGCGTATTATAGACAAATATGCGCACAGCCTACTTTAGTATCTAGCCAGAGAATAAAATGGTAACACCGCGGGAGTCCGGATTTCTTGTAGTGCGACTCTCCGTGCGACCACAGTCGGCTGTGATTGCACTACACAAAAACCGGACTCCCGCAGTGTTGTCATTGTATTCTCAACATAGTTAGGTATTAACGTATGCTGTGATATGCGAATGTTCACATGATCATATAAACAAGGGGCAAGCACAAAGCATGAACCGTGTGTATTGTAATCATGGACCTAAAGGATGGAGCAGCAAGGCGGTAAGGGGTGCCGAAATATACAAGGGTGCAAAGCATGGGCGCATGCGCTCATATTGTGGTGCACCCTACAAGTTCCAGCTATTTTCAGTGCAGTCTACAGTTGAAAATACTTATTATAGATAGATATGCACATACTGACATGACCATGCAGAAAACTCTTTGCTCTAAAACTCTAAACTTTTATCTACACCCTATAAGTTAGGAAATAAAGGACTGTTCAGGCTTGTTACTACGGACACCCGTATGTCCACAGATGTACTTCCTGAAACTGGCCAAGTTTCATAAGTAATTAAAACCGCTTAACACGATTTCGCCTCACTTTCTGATACCGCAGAGAAAAGTGTTTTTAAAGGGAAGTACTGCAATCACGGTACAACCATGATTTCCTCCAACTTTTAATTGCCCCATTAGAATACTATCTTGCCAGTTATATTATACCATGCATTTATTATAAGCTATCTTCTTGCATTTGTAAAGTGACCTTTGTTATCCATAGAATGGGCATTCTTTTAGCACACTAGTACTTCATGTCATCATTTCTATCACGTGTTCAGAAGGTTCCACTTCCTCTTTGCAAATACAATTTCGAAATGAAAACAAAAAATAAATTTATTGTCAACCTCACATAGGTTGACTCCTCAATATCGACTCAAGTAATAGTGCTATTTCTTTTTTTCGACTTATTTTTACAAGTAGCATCACTTCCTGTTTGATTGTACCAGCCGATCGGCCACACCCTGCACATCGATCTATTATGTATGTATATATGCAATTTGGTAGAGCTTGAAAACCATTGTGGAAGAGAAACGATCGAAGTTACATATAATTCGTTACTGGAACAATAGTTTCGATCTACAATAGAGCAGTGATCCCTTAAACGTAAGATTAACGTTGGTAACATACGAGAGGAAGAAAAGAGAAGGGAATAAGATGAATGGGGGATAATACCGATACTGATAGGGTAGTTATGTCATAGGTAAAGCGATGTCCTACGAAAGTTATGCCATTAAGATGGATTCGCGTCTTATGAGACTAAGCCGAAGTCTGAGACTAAGTCTTTGGCAAACCTTCGACTTGTTCGAAAGTCAGATACCATCGGGACTAACTGACGTAAAGCGTATAACATCAGCTTCTTCCTTTCTCGAAAAAATTAATATCCTCCCGATAACAGTGTGCCGGATATTCAATCTCAGTTCACAGAGGGAAAGAAGTTCAGGGTTTGAATATAAGAATACGGAAATCGAAGTTCGTTTTAGTATGTAGTGCATCTCACAAATCGAAGACACTTTATGACAGTGATAACTATGCTTTTCATTACAATATAGATTAAACTATTACTTATACCAGGCATGTACACAGAACCATTTCGATTGTTTATCCGGAAAATCACCTATTCTAACAAGTTTATCTTACAATTAGGCCGGATGATTGATATTCTACTGTATATAAATTATTCCATTGTACGTATTTAATCAACCATTACTTAATATGAATCTGCAGTAGTTAAAATGTAACCAAATGAATGAATGGCTTGGTTCGCACTTTTAACTCACGTTGCTGAATCTTTTACTAAAAGGCAAGGGCAAAGAAAGGGTTCCGAGTCCCGAGTACCCCGGACGCAAAATTATAATCGTCTTCGAATGTACACATTGCACACGCTTTCCATGATCGCGGTTGACAGTATAATAATTTCTGCTCGCGTTCCAATTTCTATTCACTAGCTTCTGATCACATATAAAATGATTGAGAATGGTCAGTAAGTAGAAATTGTCACGTGAACAGAAATTGGGACATTTATTATACACACGAGTTAGCTGCTGAAGCAGTCTTATAACTACGTCTCTGTCCCTGGTAGTTTGACCACGCCATCAAATACAACGCTATTCAATGGGTTTATTAAAGTTTACGTCGAAATACAGTAGCCTCCAAATATGTCATGGTCACCAGATTTCTTAGAATCTCTCGTCATATGAGTGTAAAACATTGTTAAAAGTAAGCAGTAGATGCAAGCAAGACGATAATACAGAGATAACGGCAGATAGAAATGGCGAG